GTGTCCCCGTTGTCACCCTGTTCTGATTCCACAGGCCTCCAGCACCCCCAGGATGAGCGCAGAAGGCGGCAGCAGGCCCCTCAAGGTGGGCTCCCGCGTGGAGGTCATCGGGAAGGGGCACCGCGGCACCGTGGCCTACGTGGGGGCCACCCTGTTCGCCACCGGCAAGTGGGTCGGGGTCATCCTGGACGAGCCCAGGGGCAAGAACGACGGCACGGTGCAGGGCAGGAAGTACTTCACGTGTGAGGAGAACCACGGCATCTTCGTGCGCCAGTCACAGGTGCGGGGCTGCTGCTCCTGGGATCGGGGGAGATGCTTCCTGGGATCCTTGGGGGAATCCAATCCTGGAATCCTCAGGGGAATCCACTTCCTGGGACTCTCGGAGGGGCTCTGGTTTCCAGGATCCTCGAGGGAATGCACTTCCTGGGATCCTGGGGGAGATTTGCTTCCTGGGACCCTTGAGGGGATCTGCTTCCTGAGGTCCTCAGTGTCCTTTGGTGGGCTCCCCTTCCCGGGATTCTGGGTGTCCCTTGGTGGGCTCCATTTGCCAGGATACCCCGTGTCCCTCAGAGGGCTCTGCTTCCCAGGATCCTCAGGTGCTCAATAAATAGAGGGAAACAGTCCTTCCTCCCTGGGTGGGGAGAGAGGAACCAGTTTCCTTTGCTCCCAGGGACGTGGGGTTGCTGGGACTCCCCGTGTCCATGTGGGAGGGAGCAGCACACTCCAGGCAGGTGGGACCTCCCCTGGGACAGGGGCCAGGCCCCTCCACACGGGTCCCTGGGGTCTTGGTCAGCCCATGGGGTTACTGTGGGATATTTCCAAGGGAACTGGGTGAAAACAGCCTAGTGAATTCCAAAGGGTTTTATTCCCAGCCTGCTCAGAGTTACCACCTGGAGCAGGTGGAGTTTGGGATCGATCTCGGTGTTTACCTGGAAGCAGAGCCAGGGAATTTTAATTAAACTGTGTTTACCTGGAAGTAGATAGATAAAACACCCTGGGTGGGTGCAGCTGCTGGCTCTGCTGCTCCTGTCCTGCAGCAGGAACAGGAGCTCTCTGGGGCAAACACCTTCCAGGATAATTCCCTGTGTTGCCTTCCTGAGGCAGAGGTGGCACTGGAGCCCCCAGCTCCGTGTGTCCCCAGCCCCATGTCCCAGCCAGATCCTGCCCCCTCCCTGGAAAAAAGGGGCTGCTTTGTATCCCAGCCCACGGTGTCCCCAGCTCTTCCCGCATTCCTGGACCCTCCTACTGCCCCTCCAGGCACTGCCAGGACCTTGGCACTGGGTGGCACATGGACCTGACTCCCTTGTCCATCCCTTGGCCTCACCTGCCAGCTGGGAAAGGCTTCCAGGGCTTCACAGGGAAAATGTCGGGTCTGCAGGACCGGGAGGGTCAAGGGGTGCTGAGCACAAGGCTCAGGGATGGTCTGGATCGGTCTGGGATGCTGCTTTCCAGTTTATCCCATGGATTTCATCCACAAGGATGTTGGACAAGGCTTGGAGCAGCCTGGTGAGTGGGAGGTGTCCCTGCCCGTGGCAAGGAGTGGGACTGGGTGGGATTTAAAGTCCTTCCCAACCCAGTCTGGGATTCTGGAGCTCTTTTGCCATGGAGCCAGACTGGGAGAGTTGGGAATGTCCAATTTGGAGAAGAGAAGGCTCCAGGGAGACCTGAGCGCCTCTTCCAGGGCTTAAAGGGGCTCCAAGAGCTGGAGAGGGACCTGGGACACGGGATGGAGGGACAGGACAATTGGGAATGGTTTCCCACTGCCAGAGGACAGGGTTAGTTGGGATATTGGGAAGAAGATCCTCCCTGTGAGGGTGGTGAGGGACTGGAATGGATTCCCAAGAGCAGCTGTGGATGCCCCATCCCTGGGAAAGTCCAAGGCCAGGTTGGATGGGGCTTGGAGCAATCTGGGCTAGTGGAAGGTGTCCCTGGCCTTGGCAGGGATGGAACTGGATGGGCTTTAAGGTCCCTTCCAACCCAAACCGTTCCAGGATTCCCTGATTCTACTTGTGCTGGCAATTCCAAACATGACTGTTCCTTTTTTGGTGAGTGGAACCATTACCCCTGACTTTGGCATCACCTGGAGCTGCCGTTGTGCTCCTGCCTGGCACGGGAGCTCAGGGCAGTCCGGTCAGAGGTGGCACTTCCCAGTGTCACCTGGAGCCCTCTGTCCCTGTGCTGGGCCTCTCCTGCAGCTCCAGGGTTCCCACCTGGGCTGTGCCTGCTGGGGAACCTTCAGACCAGTTGGAATTCCCACCCTGGTTTCCTGCAGGTCTCACAATTTCCATGGCATCATTTTCCCCCGTCTGCTTGTGGCATTTAATTCAGGTTTAATCATTCCTGGTGTTGGGAATCTTTCCAAAATGGAATCCCTGACTGACAGCTTCCCAGGTGATTTTGATTTTTAAGCTGAACTCCCAGATGGGAGGTGGTCCTGGATCAGGAAGATTCCTGCAGGGACAGTCCGGGAGGTGCTGATCTGAGGCACAAGGATGTTTCTCCTGCAGGGATCTAATCCCTTCCAGCCCCGTTTCTCATGTTTATCCAGCAAAATATGTCCAAAAATAGTTCACAAAGAGAAATCCCTGAACCTGTTATGGATATTCAGGGCTGTCAAATCCAGGCCTTTGACTTTCCTCATTACCTGTGTGAATATTCCCTATTCCTGATTGGGTTACAGAGCCTGTGGCTGTTCTCAGGGAGCCTGTGGAAGGAGGATGGTTGATGGCAAAGCTGGAATGATGAAATCAAAAATTTGTGCCAAAAACATGGGATCTGCTCTGCTGAACCCCCTGCCAGAGGGACCCATTCCCTGGACTCCCTGTTTGGGAATTTTTGGCAGTAATGGTTGTTGTCCCTTTTCCAGATCCAAGTGTTTGAGGATGGAGCCGACACAACGTCCCCAGAAACCCCGGAATCTGCTGCTATGAAGGTCCCCAAGAGAGGTACAGCCTGGGTGGGAAATCCTCCCCAAAGGGGTGGGAAATCCTTCCTGGAGAGGTGGGAATTCTGTACAGGAGGGAATGGGAAATTATTCCCCAAGGGGATGGGAATCCATCCTGGAGAGATGGGAAATCCCTCCTGAAGGGATGGGAAGTTCTTTCCAGATGGAATGCGAAATCCTTCCTGGACAGATGGAAAGTCCTTCCTGGAGAGAGTGTGAAATCCTTCCTGAAAGGGTGGGGATCCTTCCCAGATGGAATGGGAAATCCTTCCTGGAGAGAGGGAGCTGTTTCTGGTGGGAATCCTTCCTGGAGGGTTGGAAACCCTTCCCGGGGCGATGAGCACACAGAATGCAGCCCTGACCGGCTCTGAGGCTCTGGAGTTGTGGTGTTCGTGTCTCCAGCCCCATTCCCACCCCTGGGCAGTGATCCCCCCATTGAGCATTCCTTCCCCGTTCCCACGTGCCGTTCCTGGCCGAGGGCCCGGCAGCCCCGCCTCCCTGGGCTGGGCTTTGTTGGGAATGTTTCCCCGGCTCGCTGCGGGATCCCGGGAGCTGCGGAAGGGGCTCTGCCAACTTCCTGGCCTGGCTGCTCCGTCAGTGCCGCTGCCAAGGGGAGCGTTTGTGGGACACAGGATAATGGACCGGGATGGGCTGGGGGTGGGGGGTGGCTGGGGGTGCCTTTTCCCCTCTCCCAGACAGTGAAAACAAGAATTCCTCTTTAAATTCCATAAGAAAATACTTCCCTTTTACTTGGGAAAGTGGAATGGACCTTTCCGTCCTCTCTGCTTTGGATCCTGCAGTCAGCACAGAATCATGGAATTGTTGAAGTTGGAGAAGTCTCTGAGCCCATCGAGTCCAACCATTCCCAGCACTGCCCAGGCCACCCCTGACCGTGTCCCCGAGTGCCACATCCACAGGGCTGTTAAATCCCCCCGGGGATGGGGACTCCCCCCTGCCCTGGGCAGCTGTGCCAGGGCTGGACAGGAGAAATTCCAGGAGCAATTTCCCAATATCCAACCTGCCCCTCCCCTGGCCCAGCTGGAGGCCGTTCCCTCTCCTCCTGTCCCTGTTCCCTGGGAGCAGAGCCCGACCCCCCCCGGCTCCCCCCTCCTGTCAGGGATTGCAGAGCCAGAAGGTCCCCCCTGAGCCTCCTTTTCTCCAGGCTGAGCCCCCCCAGCTCCCTCAGCCCCTCCTGCTGCTC